AAATAAAAAAAATATATGATTATATGTATATCCATATATCATACATTTAGTAGTTAAAAACCACCCATGTAGGCCTAGGCAGTAGTTAAAAACCACCCATGTAACAATGTAGGCGGCCCAGAACCTGCACCTCCATGTTGCAAAGGGTTCGTCTGTTTCATGTAGAACTTAAGATGATTTGACTGACTTTGATTTTGTCCCATCCAGTCTCTGCGAGGTATTTCGAACGTGAAACACATTTGACATAGGCAGTATCACCAAGATCCCGTGCAGATGCATTATTTAGACCTTGTAGTTAGTTTACTCCTTAAAAACCAAGAAGTAGATGTTCATACTTTCAATGGATTGCTTTAAGGGATCATTTAGGAGGAAACCATGGTTTTTACCATAACATATAGGGTGTTTCCCGTAAAAGGCTCCTTAAATCAACTCAATCACAGGTTGCTTCATTTTGAGATAGTCCATTCCAGTGCTTCAAACATCACCCATTCCGCGCACCGAAATCCCAGAGGCGCGGAAGCGTTTCCTGCGCCTACGTGGGGCGGTGCTCCGGCTGCAACGGCTTCTGCGGAGGTGGCGAGATCGCGAACAGGAGATCCGGAACAGACCACCGCTGTGTTTGGCATCAGTAATCCGCTTAGTAATCCCCAAACAGATGCCGAAAAGTGTGAATGAAACCTGGATTTTTATATCATGAAAATTCATGAATCTATAACTTCCTGGAGACACTTTTTTTGGCATCTTTTTTGGGGTGCTGTAACCCCAAAATATCATTCGTCCCCTGAAATTGGCCATAAATTGGAATATATCCATGTGATTCCATGTAATTCTCATTCCTGGAGAAACCCATGTTGTGGGTTTGTCGATGGGAAACACTGTGGGATGACAAATGGAACGTTTTATTGTGGGACAAGATTTGCACAAACCATGGAATTATATGGAATTATGCTTTGTCAAGATACATGTGGAACATTTATTGGAAACCAAATTGCATAAACCAAATGGACATCGGTTTCCAAACCATGCCTTGATTGGTTTCCAATCAATGCCGCTCGGCAGATGTTCAGCTCGGCTATGGGATCTTCCAAAAATTTTCTGACCGTTCAAAGGAGCTCGAAAGCTCCGAGATGCTCGTGTCTTGTGAGGCCTGGGTATCACTTTCTCCTCATCTTCGGGAGCCTAACAGTTAGCCTAACATTGGGTCATGAAATCCTGAAATCTATGGAAACCCGAAGTTGGCAGCATCCAAAGATGAAATTCATCTTCCTGAACCCAGCTTGTTGATTTCCATTCTAAACATGTTGGAATCTTGTCGGCGGCAACAAGTTACTAGGTGCAACATGGTGGAACAATGTTCATCATCATCATCATCATCATCATCATCACCATCATCATCATCATCATCACCATCATCATCATCAGATCATCATCAGATCATCATCATCAGATCATCAGATCATCAGATCATCATCATCATCATCATCATCATCATCATCATCATATGTATGTGCTATGATATAGTATATTATATATCATATACCTTCATTCAAGCGATTCAAACCAATGAAATGCTGGGTTGCAAAACAAAAGGTTTACAATGTGATGCCCCCCTGGGTCATAAGTTGGTTGAACAATCTCACTAGCTATATAGTTATAATAATATATCTACTATAACCCCTTTGTTAACCCCAATGTTAACCCCCATGTTAACCCCTATCAACCGACTCAGCTGGCGATCTAAGCCACCGCGGCGAGCGTTGCGCGCGTTGCGCCCAGGCAGGCCCACATGAGGTCATGGGAAAAGACACTGAGCACCTCGCCAGCAATAGACCCAGATTGCGGTTGGTCATTTCATGTCACCATCACCATGCTATTAATAGGTAAACCATCTATCCCTATGGGTCATCAATACCATGGCTATGTTAAATAATTAACCATAGGGTATTTGTTTAATGTTAAACAGGTCAAAAAATATAAAAACCATCTTTGGGGTTGATCATTTTCATATCCAAATTGGATGAACCCAGTTGGCCAGCGACTAATGGTGGGGGGTGCCTGCCCAGGTTGCAGACCCCGACCAAGCCAGGCTGGGAGCTGCTGATTCACTTTGGAGGAAAAACACCATAGATCCATATAGATCATTATAGATCCACATAAAATGGTCCTTGAATTTGAGATATCACATATCATGATATATCATATTACTATATGATAAATCATGTTTATAGCAATCACTGTGCTCAATTAGCCTTGAACTTATCACATACATTGGCTTCCTTTTTGACGGCTCACATGCACGACACTTTGCACAGAGGCGGACATAGATTCACACTGCCTTTCGAGATGCTTCCCTGAGATTTCAGCTGAAACCCTTCAGGCCATTTGCGTCCCGCACTTCGCGGGGCCGCACGACGAAAGCTACTGGGTGAAGAGGTTCACCCGGGCGATGGTCGGAGGTTAAGGGTGGTGTGGTGAGTGCTGCACTCATGTTAGTAAAGCAATGTCATAAACCAGCCATATGTTGATGGAGCTTATACCACCCAGCATATGGTGTTTTTTGTTTTTTTTGGGATGGTGTATTCTATTGTTTTACTAGCATTAGTCATATGCCACATTATGTTATCAATATCCCATTGAGTCCCATCAAAACCAATATGTGATCCGCATTAATTATATAACATAATGATAACCAATATATGATCCACATTGAATAGGGTCATATTGAAGAAAACATGATGTTATCGATTACTAACAATTATATATATATATATATAAACCCCATTGTTCACAGCAACAAGTCCAGCCACATCCCGCCGTTCAGGTTTCATTGCAAGGAGGTGGAGACAACTGGGAAGTGGGCACCGTGCTTCGTCGGTCTCACAGGGAGCCGACTAGCAACAAATTGGATTTAACATGATTTGAACAAGACAATTGGGAATTTATGGTGACTAACCATCATATATAGGATATATAGCTAATATATTATAGGATATATAGCTAATATGTTATGATTATATCACCATATGTTGATTTATGTTAGCTAAGGTGGTGTAGTTCACTCACATGCATCTTTCAAGCGAAAAAAACTTTGGAGAATTCTCACAGGCGTCCGAGTAGGACAACAATCCCCAACTTTCTTCAGAACAAGTGATTTTTTTCGGTAGATCTCAATGACTCTCAGTAGGAGCCATTAGGTTTGTGCGACTTACCCACAACAGCAAAACAGCCTTTGGACTCTCCAAATGCTAAGCCAATGTCTTCACATCTTGAGCCCATTTATAGCCCATTTATAGCCAATCCCCAACAGTTAGGGCCCTTCTGTTGGTAGGTCTTCGCAGTCCCGAGCGTAGAAAGTCCCGCAAGAGCTGTTGCATGGCTGAAGTGTAGTGGCAATCGAGCAAGGTTGAATTCATCCCTGGAAGATGGGGGCCTCAGGTCCTTAGCTAAGCTGATTCATAGCAAACATAGCTAGGGTTTCTGGTGTATATATCATAAATCATCATGATATTAAAGTTAATGGGGATTATACACCAACTAATTATGAAGCAATTTAATAACTAGGGGGCCCACCTATATTGGTGGATAGTTGGATGGGGTTTTCCTGACTGGTTGAATGGGTTTGACCCTCTGTGTGCCAGGTTCAAACTGATTTTAATGGTTTATATAGCTCGATGGTGGCTATAAACTTAAAAAAAAGCATGTCACTCCCATTCAAGGTGAGATCATGCATATACAATGTTATACTATAGAATATGTATATAGAATTATACATATATATATATATGTATATGTATATATATATGTAAATATATATGTATGTATATATAATTGTATATGTATACTGCTATATATATATATTCGCATCATGTTTTTTTGTCATGTTCCCATTACTTCAATGGTGGTTTCCCAGGTCTGCCAAGCCCGGAGAAGAAGGGGACCCAGGGGAGCGAGTCTCGGCCTGTGGAGGTGGGAAAATCCATGGAACATCAACTATTTTTTATCTGGTGAATAGTGATGGTTAATAGTGGTTAATAGTGGTTAAAAATAGTGGTTAATTGTGGTTAACTATACCATGGAGGTTAATAGTGATGGTTCATAGTGGTTAAAAAATGGGTATAAACCAACAACAATGGGAATATGATGGTATATGATGGTGAAAAAAACTGGTTGGTGGTGACTGGAACATGAATGGATTATGACTTTCCATATATTGGGAATGTCATCATCCCAAGTGACGAAATCATATTTTTCAGAGGGGTGGGTATACCACCAACCAGTATCTATAGAGAAATGGAAGATGTGACAAATTGCCATGTTTGATGACCGGATGTAAAGTGAATTGCCCAGTGCCATTATTGTCAGAGGTAGATTACATCAGAACGACAAAGAATGGGACCATGAATTAGCTACAGCTAAGCAGCTACGGTTTCTGATGGGGCCTCAATGGGCCTAAAGTCACAGATGATTGGTCATGTTTAGCAGATTTTAGCAGTATGCCATTGTCGGATATCAACGGATATCATGTCTCCCTTAAAGAACCATCCTACACCGACACCGCAAGTCGCCACTGGATTCGCCTCTGTCAGATGACATTGTTGGACGACCAACTGGGAGCCGCCACTGGATGCCACTGGCCGACCTTTGGGGTAGCTGTTTTCCTCAAAAAACCATAAGAACTGGATGTTTGATGAGATCGGCCATGCTGTGCGGAATGTTGAAGTAGCGTCGCCAACGGAGCCCACTTGAGACAATGTTTAGCAAGAACTACAACAAGCACTGCTAAATTGGAACATGTGCGCTGCATCTCTTCATGTGCATCCGGGCAAGTTGCGACAATCATCATCGGCACCTAAACACCAACAAGAGTTTGTCTGAAACTTGGGCATCCCCAATTCTGATGGGTTATCGTCCTTTGCCCCATTGAAACGGCCGACTTCGGATGGTACAAAATCATTTTCAGACACAGCCACAGCCAGAGAACTGCTTGGAACTCCACTAAACTCGGCCATGGAAGTGCTGCAAGATCGCGCTCGACGGCTCTTGCGCATCCTTGATGTGAAGCTTATCCCGAAAGATGAGCAAAAAGGAGGAGGTGTGCGGATGTTTGGGGTAATTAGCACTGCACCTCGCTCATGACTATATGAAAAAGAGAAGAAATATGAAGAGATGCATCATGATGTCATGAAGCGTTTATTGCACTTTTTGTTAGTGCAATAGACTTCCACCTCGAGCCGCTTGTATCTCCAGCCGCTGGTGTCCTGTCGATCAGCCGTGAGTCCGAACGTACCAAGGAACCACGACGGTCGCTTGTCGGTGGAAGAGTGCGCTTGCCTGCAGGCGACTGGGATGGGCTCGCTATTTGTGGTGTGATGCCATAGGCCTCAACTGGACCTGGGCACTTCAGGATGGGAACCAAAGAAATCTTTACACTTCTTCACAAGTTCCATGGAAGCTGGGGATGATTATGTCTTGTGACCATTGCTTCTTGACCATTGAAGGAATTTGCGGATGTGCTTTATGCGATAATGCCAGAATGAAGAATCTTGACCATTGCTTGGGCTAATTAATCTGCTAATTAGTTGTTGCTATCCCCCAGATGGCCCAGATGGCTCCAATATCTGCAATCATTTTATCAAACTCTTTTGTCAAGGAAATACTGCAATCTACTGCAATCATCTGTACTCTTTGTGCGTGTGTGCAACTTTCAATTGAATCTTATAACATCTTATGTAATTATATATCTACTTGGAAGATTGCAAGATAGCGTGTATTATCGCTAGACTGTGACTGTGGGACTGGTCATCACTGGTCACCGTGAATTTCTGAACGATGCCTCCCTTTGACCTTGATAGGAAGATTCATGGCTCTTTCCGAACGATGCAAGCTTTGAACAAGTGCTTGATAGCACTGACCGTGCCTGGACTGAAGCCGCATTGTTCGGGAATCCAAGGATAGCGGATCTCGCGACACATAGTGGCCATGCAAAATTGGCTAGCCCAAAGTTCTAAAGTTCCACGGAAGTGGCCCTTTCAGTAGAGAAGCTGACTGGTGTTGGAGTTGGACAGGCTCCCAAAGTGACCTATTCCGACAGCCAGGTACACACAATAGTCACTAATATATACACACAGCAGATTACAGTAGTAGAAAGTATCTACTGCAGACATCGCTGAAGGACCCGCTCATCAGCTCTTCAATTGAAACCAGCAGTACAGCTATGGGTCAGAAGACTGGGATGTTTACATGTGGGGTGCCACATAAGTACCACATATCAACATGAGCAACATCATAACATTTGAGTACCAAAACCCTGGTTGATGACTAATTCCGGGAGTTATACTTTCTGGTTCAATGCAGGTTATTATCACCCATGTTGAGCTATTGGAATTGCCTTTGCAGCCTCAAGGAAGCTTCGTCGACGCGGATTTGCTCTGGTCGCTGCTGTCAGATAGGTCGGGAAACAAGTTGAAACAAGTGCTGCCTCAAAGCTTCCGGTTTCATCATGTTTCATCCGCTTTCCACGTATGTTTCATGGTATTTTTCCAGTTCAACAAAAAGGGTGCAGAAAAAAACATAGTATAACATATCACCATGAGAAAATTGCCTGAAAAATTACCCAACATGAGTCCTATAGGGATGGTCTGGTAACGTTGACAACCCAATAATACACCATCCGCAACATTACCATAGATGGGTGGCTTATCAAATCATCAATGTCATAGTACATATAGATGTATAGTACCCAAAAGAAAAGATAGAAAGATACACTTCCGTAGAATCCGACTCAAAACGTGATAACTATGGCCTTTTCAGTTATTTCTTTTCAGGTCACAGTGAGGTTTCTCATGGCATTTCCCACCCCCCAGGCTCGAGAGCGATGCGACGGGAGGGGAAGAGTGGCTTCGGAAACAGTACCGCTTGCTGCGGCGGCCTGGCTGCGGAGGATGTTTGGGACCACAAAACTCTGATGGCGCAACGGTACCCTCTGGTAATTTAACATAGCTATTGAAAATGGCCATTTATAGTGAGGTGTCCCATTAAAAATGGTGATTTTCCATAGTTATGTTAGTTTACCAGAGGGTATCGCCATGTTAAACAAAGGTTGTCATTTGATCATCACATTTGATGTTTGTTTTGGATGTTTGGGTATGTTTGGGTGAGTCATCTGAATTCATCTGAATTCCAATATATTCCAATGCTTTATGATGTGATCGTCATGTTCAAGCAACAAAGGGAATGGGCGATTTCATCATTTTTGGATGCCCCATTTTGGGGGCAAACGCCACACCTGGAGGTTTCTTCTGCACATTTTCCTGCACATTTTCAGGACCTCACGTCGTGATGTCGTAGGAGTCACTATCCCAAAACATGTTCGGGTTAGTGTCCCCTGAGAATTGTTGGTTATAGTAAGTGTAATAATTAACATTTACAATATTCAGTTATTGCAGTTGAAAAACAATATCTGATAACTGGAAGTAGTTACTATATCACTATAGCCACAACCCATTTATCATATTTTACCATCAATATACCCCAAATGTTAGCATATATATCATACATGGATCCTATGGGCAATAAATTATCCTGTTATTGCAGATATGTCGTGTCCCCAAACTCTCTTGCCACGTTCAACTGCTGAGATCTCGTCAACCTTCTAGTGGCATTGATGTGTCGAAGAGCTTCACGGAAACTTGGCCCGTTGGAACGGGTTTTCAAAAGCTGAAAAACCTGGACTGTTTGGTGGTTTGAAATACATAAAAAAGGACTTTATGTTATCTTGAATCTATTGTATAATATATAATGGTTCAATATTTACATTAATTAGTTTTAATTCTGACTCATGTACTTTACATCCTCACTTGAGTTGATTCATCGTTTCCATTGACAGTCCTTACGGGGTTGAGATCAGCCAGCAGTTGTGCCTTCTGCACTTTTGTATCCGCTTCAAAGAAATTCCCTGAATCACAGTTGCCTGTCAATTGTGAAGTGGAGCAACAAAAACAAATTGCTGCTTGGATCTCTATCATCAATACCTCATACAAATTGTGTGCTTCACACTGATCGGTTTTCCATGGCTTGGCTCGTTTGGAGCTGAAGCTGCTTTACCCTGAGGGATCCAAGAGTCTCTATTGGATGCGCTCCAAATCAGCGCTGGGGTCGCTGGAGAAGCTGTGGGAGGACTTTTGCTCTGCCTGATCCTCAGTGGGCGCCCGGCCCCGAGGCTTGAAGTAGAGATCTGGAGAGATATCCATTATAGACATGATGATACTCTATTCCATTATATTAAATTATATTATAGTATATTATATTTTATTACATTGTATTATATTATATTAAAGTATATTATATTATAGTAGATTATAGTATATAATATCATAGTATATTATATAATATTGTATTTTATTATATTGTATTATATTATATTATAGTATATTATATTATATTGTATTATATTGTATTATATTATATTGTATTATGTTATTTTGTATTATATTATATTATATATTATTTTATACTGTATATTATATATTTTATATTATATAATATATAATATAATATACTATTATATTTTTTTTATTATATCATATATTATCTATTCTATTATATTATATTATTGTTTTTTGTATTCTATTATATTTTACAATATTATATACATTATAATATATTATATTGTATTTTATCATATTTTTTAATATTTTATATTATATCATATTATATGTTATATTATATTATATTATATATTTTATATTATATTGTATTATATATTATATATTATATTGTATTATATATTATAATATAATATAATATTTTATTATACTATATGTTTTTTTTTTATATTTTATACATTATATATATCATATATTAAATATTATATATTACATATTTTGTGTTTTTTTATTATTCATTATATACAATATTATATCATATCATATTATTTTATATTAATTATATTATATTATATTATATTATATTACATTATATTATAGTATATTATATTATATATTGTAGTATACTGTAGTATATAATATTTCATTATATACAATAATATCATTATTTATATTATAATATTAGATGTATATTATATTGCATTGTATTATATTATCTTATCTTATATTGGATGATTTTATAGCACCAACCATCAAAGGGCTGGAAAATCCTTCTAACATAGTGGCAAATCAATGCAAATCACGTATTCTAGACGTCATCTAGAGTCTAGAGTGTCTCTTTTGGGGGTCCTTTCTGTTTCTTCCAGCCATGTATCACCGTGGCTTAGGCCTTGCAGGTGGAGGACATCGACCAAGCCTTCAGTCGCTTGATGGGAGCCTCTGGGGGAGTTAAGGCTCCTTTTGAGCCACGGATTTACTGATCGATGTTTGTGTATGGTTAAAATAGTGTTTAATTCTATAATATTCTATATGTATTATATGGTTGTGTATGTTGATCTTGTTGATGTTTCATTGGTTTGTCGAAGGTTTAATGGAATGTTATTGTGCCGAAGATCAAGCAGGAGTATAATAATTGTTTTGATCATATGCAAGATGGTGTCAACAGTATTTTGAAGTTTGACTGGGGGAGGACTCCTACTGATCGTTTTGAACATGAGTAAACTATCCAACTTTGGGAGGACCAAGTTGGAACCATACCCAAATGCATTGCGATTCAATCAGGGAAGGTTGGGAATCACCCAAAGCTGCTTTCAACCTGGATATTGACCTTTTGTGTCTAGGTTTGTATGCGTGTGTACCTCCATGATTTTGCCCTCGCTGGTAATGTGCACAGCGCTCTTGTTGGTTTGCAAAACTTGTGGCGTGCTCCGTAAAGGTGTTAAACAAGATAAACGGATGGCAGGAGTTTTGCTGTTTCGACATGCTCTAGGAAGTTGCAAAAAGGTCACCGTGTTTTTTCTCGACCAAGCCTTGATTCGTGTCAGTGGCCTCATCTTTGAGCTCTGCCGTTGCCAACCAGCCAACCAGGGGTATGGTCAGGCTTTCTGAGCTCCTAATGAAATGGCAAAACACTGAGAACTCCGTCAATTTGAGTTCCCTTTGCAGACAACATTCTGGTTGTCAATGTACTGACAGCATTTTGGTGTCTAAACCCTGACATCCAGACACCTGAGGTTTGCCAAAAACTTACCCTATGAGACATGGGACATACACCCTCATGTTTGGGCGAGGATGGAGGTCCTGGCTGCAGAATCAGCTCTCAGCTGACTCAGGTGCACTTTGGACTTCGATGCAGGAAGTTCAACTCAATAGTTGCACAGCAGCATGGACCAATGGAGGGTGCAACGGTTGCGTTGAGATTTTTTTTTCACCTGGTGGATCTGTATATAGATGCCATAGATTTGATCTCATGGGAAAGCAAACCATGGTGACGTGCCCAGTGGATCAAGGGTTCACCCAGAAGATTGATCAGTTGCCAGCGTACCTGGGGATCATGTTCCATCGGCGGGCTGAGGTTCCAAGCCGTTTGGCCCCTTTGAAGCCTACAGCAAATTGCTTCAGAGGTTCGGAGAGGGAGGCAAACTTGAGCCGCAAATGCTGAAAACAAATCAATCAACAAGTATCAGCACCAGAACCATTGGAGAAACTAAGGAGCCATTTCCAGTCACGCCCAAAATTCCTGAAATTCCTGATGTTGATGTTTAGGGAAAGTCCCGATATGTCCCGATTCATCCCATCCAAAGCCACATAAAGCCACTTATCGAAGCTTGGTTCCCAAATGTTCCCAAGCATTGATCCAAAGCCTGGTTGCAACGGTTGCAGGATGCCACTATCCATTCCGAGATTCCAGAAGCAACTGGACTCAGGCAACTCAGGCTGCAGATGGTCATGTCAATGTCAGGTCCATATCCCAATTTAAGCGTGTCCTTTTTGTTGGACATCGATTTTTTTCAGTTTCAGCATAGATTCTATATACGGTTTATAGATTTTATAGGTTTAGTATTAGTATCTATGATTTACCCTCTGGTTATTTAACATAGCCATGGAAAATCACCATTTTTAATAGGTAAACCATCTATCTATAAATGGGTTCCATGGCTATGTTAAATAACCAGAGGGTACAAAAAAATGTACCAAGCATTTCGTAAAAAAATCACCAAGCAGTTCTGGGAGGTCCCCGGGGGGGTCGATGGCACCGCTGGCCGCCCTGGGGATCCCTGGCAGGTGCCGATCCGCTGAAAGGTGAAAAACTGGCGGTGATTGGTGCTGGCCCCATTGGTCTCAGGGCGGCTTTAGAACTGGCCCTCTTAGGAGCAGAGGTGCCGGGGGAAAAGGTGGGGGAGTTGGGGGGCCCACATCGAGTGAAGTGAAGTTTAAGTTGTGAAGTTTTGAAGAAGGACTTGGTTTCAGATGTTCTGAACATTTTTTTTTCTCTGACAGCAGTTTGGAACCACCTTTATCTAGTGAATCTAGTGACATTCCTCCAAAAATAAATAGTTCATCAAATGTGTCTTGGTTTGGTTGTGTATGGCCAACTGCAGGGTGTATACTTGTGGTGGATGTAAATGAGGGGCGGACTAAAGCTTAGTGGAGAATGAGCCTTCAACTTGTTCCAGTGTGTTTTGGGGTCTTCTTATGCCAAGAGCATCGCTTGTGACATTTGAAGGGCCAAGGGGCCCAAGATTCTAAGCATCAGCTTCCAGATACTATCATACGGTATGCAAACCAGGATACATTGCAATGTTAGCTAAAGGGCCTTGTGAATGACATTTCCACATTTCTACAGCATGTTGCCAAAATACACTTCCAACATAGTTGCTTCCAAGAAAAAAAGCAGCTACTGTATATTCGATTTGAGTGAAGCTTGGGTGCAGTACCCCAAGATTCAGTGGGTTGTCATCATGTTCTCCATTAAAATGCAAATTTTGGGGTCTCACACCCCATTTTTTCACATTTTTTCCAGACACAAGCACAGCATTTGGGACTTGGGACCATGAACCATTATGAAACTATGGTTCATTTTTCGGTCCCTGCGGCACAGATCTTTCAGAGCAGGTCCATGTCTTCGACAGCCGTGCATCCTTTAGTCGTCCAATGCTCAGGTCATGGAAGTTCTGGTGTTTTCTGGGGTGGACAGAAGGGTTGGGTGTAATTACCCTCTGGTAAACTGTTACATGACTATGGAAAATCACAATTTTTAATGGGAGAACTCACTATAAATGGCCATTTTCAATAGCTATGTTAGTTTACCAGAGGGTATGTATTTTGATAAGCCCGAAAACCATGAATCATCCTCAATTTGCCATGAAACGGGTGGGAGTGAAATGATTGAAGCCATCTGGGCCCTTCCGGGCAGCCCGGGGTCACTGAGGCATGAACATCCTGAAGTTGTGGGATTGGGCAGCCAGCGACCTCTTAGAATCTTGGCATTTGAGTTGGTACCATTGGTACCAAAAAAAATGCAGGTCACATGCAGGAGACTTGGCTGGCACAGACACTCTTTTGTTTCTTTTCCCTCAATTTGGCCATGTCATCTTGATGCAAGAACCGACATTTTCCGCTGTAGTCCACTTCAGCTTTGGACAAAAATAGGGAGCTCCAAGAATCTACTTCCATTTCCTCTGAAATCCCACAAGGGGTGTCCCCATCCGTAGGATGTCCAGATATCAGAAACGGTGATGCTCCACTTAGGAACTGGGTGCCAAGCATTTGTTGCCCAACTTCCTGACTTACATGGCCACTTGGTGGTCATCAGGTGTCCCAGGGAGATTAAATGCTTGTGATGAGATGGCTGTGGGTCTGAATCTGGGCTCCGTAAAAGGTACCAGCAATATGGTCAGCATCAGTCAGCATCAATGGTGATCGACCTCTCCAAGGGGGTGGTTTTACCACTATGATTCCTCATCAAAACTGACACTACTCGCCCAGGATCACATTGGAATCCGCGAATTGCAGGCGTTGCTTCTGAAGCTGTGTTTATTGGCCAAGGCTGGGGGAATGGCTGCAAAGCATGGTGCCACACTGCACAAGAAAAGTACAGAGTTTCAATGCCAGTCCAAACCTGTTAGTCTTGGGTGCATGGGGGAAGGTGAAGTTTCACTGGAATAGCGCTTTCAAAGTGGCTTGCTTGCAGATGGTTGTTGACCTTTCTTGTAGTTGCCTTCAATTCAGCGCTTGCGGAGTTATATCAGTGAATGGCTCATGGACTGTTCCCTCATCAGTTGTTTTCTTCCAGAGATCCCGCGGAGCAAAATCAACATTTTGCTGTTGGCCTTCCATCCAAGTGAAAGGAGAGGCTAATGGGCGCACCAGTGGTACTCTTTTGTTGGAGTATGTTTATCTTATATCTTGTTATCTTCAAACGTTTACGGTATTCTATCTGGTGGTTGGAAGGGGGCGTCTATGAGCTATGGATATCATGCCCTTTTTCATGCGCTAGATGGAGCTACAAATAGAATTTCCCAACCACATGGACAGTATTTTTGTTCATGATGAATTGCCCATCTATTGCTGGGAAGATGAATTCCACTATATTTATATATATATACATATGCTCACCCCCCCATGATCTACCCCAATGATCCCCAATGAAGATTTTACCTGATCTTTGCCCATGGCCCACCTTTGACCACCTTGGCAAGACCCTTTTGGTGCTCTCTGCTCATAAAAAGGTTAATGTCGCTTTGGAGATGCAGAATTTTTGACAGTGGCAAGATGGGAAGAAGCAAGTGCTCAAAGCATTTGATTTGCAGAAAAATGTTGTTACAAGAAAATGCTGCTTACAGGTTACAATCTGCCTTGAAGATAAGATATTCCCTCAAATAAGAAACACTATTCTTGCAAGAAAACTATCATGTGTGGAACAGTGGGTGGAAGAAATCCTGCACCACCGTGGATGGTTAAAACCCTATAAATAATGGGATAAACCACCTATTAACTGGTGCAGGATTTCTTCCATCCACAGAAGGATGAAATACATGCTTTAATGAAGCTCAGCCTTCCTCTCACTTCTCTTGTATGACCATGGTTTTCTGTTTTTTGATGAAGTACTGTAGAGGTAACATAGTAATTAAAAATAATGCGTTGCTCAAACATATTCAAAATACAATGACTATACCTTTGCTATAGCTTCCATATATCTTTACTATACCATTCTATTGACTCAGCACAATATCTTCAAGAAGCCTTTAATATGTCTTTTAAATACAATGTAATACACCTTCAATGCTTTATATGCAATCTAATATACCTTTAGTACACCTTTATACAAATACAATCTTATTGGCCATGTTCTTGCCTCTAACATACCTTTAGGATACCTTTAATATACCACAATATACCTTTGATGTAACTCTAAAATGCCATCTAATATATCTATACTATACATGTAATATACAATTTTATATACCTTTTGTATATCATTTGATATACCTAGAATCTACCTTATTTCCTTTTACTTGACCTTGAAAATAACCTTAGTATGCCTTGACGATACCTTGAATGCATATACCTTTAATATACCAGTTAATTTACCAGTTAATATGTTTTTAGTGTACCATTTAACAAAACATGAGAATACCTGGAATACATCTTTGATATACCTTTAACATACCTCTTATATATCTTTAATATATGTTGATATTCCTTTTGAAATACTGTTGATAGACTATGTCATATAGCTTGAGTGTATCATTTAATTTGCCATGAATATACATTTGTTTTTATCAATATCCCTTCAATATACCATATACCATTTTATTGACCATGAACACATGTTGTTCTTAATATACCTTCCATATACCTTTGCACTACAACTCTTTTCTAAATTTTGTATAGTGCTTTCAAATGAATACTGCATAGACTAAGAGAGCTTTTTTATTGAAGTAATTCTGTGCTCTTTCAAAGGGGCCTCACACGTTTGTTGGCATTTTTCTAGGAATCCTGCGCCCATGAAAGAGTCTTGCAAAGTATGCTAGTTTAAAGCACTGTTCCATTTTCTCATACTGTGCGTAATCAAATGTTTGGAGACTCTCTGGGGATGGTTCCATGGAGAAAACAGAAAAAAAGAAAAACAAAAAAAAACATGTTGAAGAAGTCTTGGGGATGGGGGAAGCTAAGCCAAGAGTCACCAAAAATTGTTGTTTTTTTTTGTTTCCATGTTTTTTTTGGTTTTCTTGTTGTTCCAGATGATAGGGTGAAGCAGACCAAGGGGTGAAGTGGTCAGACGAAAGTTCTGAATCAGTCATTGCCATTGAACTATAATGCATTAGATATGAAAATTAAGTATCCAAATATATTCAAACATCCATGTGCAGAAACCTGCCCCCCATGAGCGCCCCTTCTGCAAGTTATTGTTTTTCCGGTTCTGCGTTATATGCAAAAAAACATGGTAATTTCCATATAAAATACTTCTAGGTAGATCATCGGGGGGGGGTGACCATATATACCGCATTCTAACTGAGGGGGAGAAATATATAACCCTGCTTGGCACAAAAATGGCGAGTACGTCAACCCTATTATTAGACTGACCTGCAGATTCTTTGCAGCAGCAACACAAGGTGGTGCCCCGTTGGCTAAGTTGGCTAGCTACTATGCCTGGAGGGTATGACTGGCTACGGTAGATATATCGAACTTGTTAATGGGGTTTATAAACCAGCTTGTAAATACAATAACAATCAACAACATATAACTTATTGTGTTCTTGTCCAACTGTTTGAAGCCAACTTATCTATACTGAACAGGGGTTGGTAACTGTCCCATTTTGGGTATATTGGACATCACCTTATAATAGCCATTATAGACCATATACCTAATGGTTGGGTGATGTTCAATGGGGACATTTAATGACCCATGCTTAATGATCTTAATGGGTACCAAAGAACTTCAATCTGACACCACCAAGACGAGTCGATGCCAAGGCGATGAGTAAAATCCAGTTGCTAATCTGCAGAGAGATGGGGGGTTAAGTCATGGGGGTAGCCCCAAATCATTCACATTTTGGTATTGAAAAAAAAATGGTGACTTTGGGATCTCAGATGTTTTCCGAAACCCCTACATGGGTTTGTTCGAACATGGGATTAAGCATCAACATGGCATATAAAGCCAACCATAATTTGGGATATAGTGGGATACAATCATTGGGGTTATGATATAAAGAAATATGTATATGTATATTTGAATATCATATTTATTATATATATACACATAGATGTGGATCAAATAAACATCATTTGGGTTTGTCTGAACATGGGGTCTACCCCCAATGTATCGTTATTTAATTGGGAAAATGATGACAGAGACGAACCAATATATAAGCAGCTAGAACAATGCTGAACCCGTTTTCTTCTGTGTACGAGCAAACATCAGAAAATATCAGGACCATTCATCTAACTGAAAAGCAAATTTGCAAGGATAATGACTTGAATTGTATCTGAATTGTGAAGCCTATGCAGATGTGGTGTGCTGCAAAGATTGTGTAGTGGTTCAGTTTCCGCAATGGATATGTTGTCATTTCATGTCATTTCTATCAACTTCAACTACGACGCCCTTTATAGAAGTTGCTTCCTCCGCATAGTTCAAGCATGGTTCCAAGTCATCCATCCTACGGATGATCCCGTTTTGGCCCTGCAGGTCGCCTGTCCGAGAGCGCTTACAACTGGTCACTCAAAAGGTGTTGACCCAATCTGGGAAGCCGACCGGACACTGGGCAGATGACCAGGTTCCACCAGTCTTGACTAACTGTTGACGAACTAAATTAACCATAATTTTTCAGCAAGTCACCAAGACATGGTAAAAACCCGGTTTTTGGTCGTTTGACATAGTGAACTGGAAAATTATCATTTTAAATATACCCAACCTGGTTATGACTAACATAGCCATGGTATAGATGGCCCATGGAAATAGATGGTTTACCTATTAAAAATGGTGATTTTCCATGGCTATGTTAGTCATAACCAGAGGGTAGATAAATCGAACAAACAAAAAACAGACACATGCGCGGCTCCCTGAATTCCACGCGACCCGCATACACTTACATCATCTTTTATCAGCTGGGCTCATGCCTTGGTGAAATCACTATTGTTTATATTAAAATTCCCTTTGTCGGATATTGTTCTATATTTCTTGAGATCGCAACTTGAAAGTAAACGATAATCAAACATGGCCACGGAATCTTTCCAGAAATTATACCCTCTGGTTATTTAACATAGCCATGGAAAATGGCCCATTTATAGATGGTTTACCTACTACAAATGGTGATTTTCCATGGCTATGTTAAATAACCAGATGGTAGATAATGTTCCCGGCTATAAACCTCTATACTTCTTGAGGATTTCCCAGCCAGCCAAGTTTGATAAAACCGAAGGAAAAATACACCATACCCAACCTGGTTATGACTAACATAGCTATTGAACATGGCATAAAATGGCCATAGAAATAGTGGATTTGCCCATGAAAAATGGTGGATCTTTCCATAGTTATGTGACAGTTTACCAGAGGGTAGATGTGACTCTCGGATGTATCCAGAAACCCGATCGTCCAAGGACAGGAGGACGTCCAGACATTCTCCAGCCTCGTTGCATGTGGCTGGGCGGCACTTTAAAGTTTTAACGACCTGGCAGTGGATGGGAAGTTACACCCTGGTAAACCAACATAGCTACAATGTGAGGCCCCCTAGATAGCTAAGTTGGTTTATAACTCCAATAACTATGGTTTATGGTACTTATAACTATAGTTACTGGGGTTATAAACCAACTTATAACTGGGGGTACCACATTGTATGGAAAATCACCATTTTTAAAAGGCAAATCAATATAATTCAACTATAAATGGCCATGTTCAATAGCTATGTTAAATTACCAGAGGGTAAGCAATATGGGTGTTGCTTCTTAAATTGGGGGATCCCCAAGTCACCATGGGTTTCATTACTAAATGGTTTAATGACTTGGATGATTTGGGTTACACCTCCATGTAAGGAGGAAAAATGTGGTATGAAACCAGCCAATATATACAAATATGTATTTTTTTCCCTCCTGGCCCATTGCTGCTCTGTGCCGCGGCCAATGCAGGTGTCCTTGAATTCGCTGGTGGAATCAGCGCGCATAGTCGGCTCCAAAATGGGCACTGTACTGTGTCACAGTAAGTGACGCCCATAGCTCGACATCAGCCGCTGGAGGCTCAACACCAGCCTTCGTCGGGATCAGATCTATCGCACGACGGAAAGATGATGCTAGTGCTCCGCACATAGCAGGTGGATACTCTTTGAGTACTCCTGTACGCCACTGGCCTTCGGCTGTGAGGCCGATCGAAGAGCCTCGTGGCAATTCTCTACGGATCATCCATTGACGTAGGTCTTGCACGATGTCCGGGAGGTTGATTGTCATCAAATCTGTGGCCTTCGCTGATGGGGCACCAAAAAGCCCTTGCGCCAGGCGGTGTCGGCGTACACCAGGTGCTTGGAGCAAGGCCAGTACTGCAGGCACCTTCCAGATGGATGCTGCCATGTCCTCGTCGGGCTCCGCCGGGTGCTCTAGGACTCCACAGCCTCCTGTCTGGACCATGGTGGCAGCCATCAACAAGGTGAAGGTGAGCAGCTGGTTCCCTGTCATCACCTGAGCCAATTCCTTGAGTGCCAAACTGGGGAGTCCCCAAAGGTATTCAGCTGTACGAAGGATTCGTGGGAGCTTGCGGTTCTGGTCCATGGTACTGCCTTGTCCACGGGCCTTTGACCACGTTTCACATGGCGGGCCTGCAAGAAAGGCCACCACAAATCCATCCAGAGCCGCTTTGGTCCAGTAGTCTCTTGTACCGACAGCCATAGCGTCTCCCCAAACTGCATCTACCACCACGTCCATGCTCACGACGTGGAGGAGGTAGTGGCTTGGGCCGTCCATGCGATCCAGAAAGTATTGCACGTCTCCTGGACGGCGCCTTCCGGAAAAGATGTGCAAGAGGACCCTGTGTCGGCAGAAATCTCTGGGCACTTCATGCGCCGCAGACCAGTCAGTGATTGCAACATCTCTGCACTCTTGCTCCAAGTCCTCCAAAGCCTGGGTCGGCTTGACCAGCGGCCGGTCAAGGTTCCAGCAACTCGGGGCCAGCAGAGTCCTGAGTCGGGCTTGCACAATGTGGTGCGGAACTGGCCAATGCTGTGCATCGTCCTCCTCCAAGGTGTCCAAGAAGTAGCATAGTGTCGCCGTCCAGGTAGTCCAGGAAGTAGGTCGCTCTGCCATCTCCTCCATGATGTGCTGAATCGCGGTCTCCACATTCTCCAGGTCGAGGAAGGTCTCCATGAGGAACATGTGCAGGTCGTTGTCCACATCAGTCTCCTCCCTCAGGCGGCAAGGTTGCTGGTGAGGTCCCTCAGCCTGTAGTGGCGGTAGCAGCCGATCATGCACTTGAAGTCTCTCGTTGTCATCATGGGATCCCTGGCCAGGGACCAGGTGGCAGGCATAGTTCCGGCTATGCAGCGTCCTTCGACAGTGCTTGGCATAGTACAGGTGAGCACTCAGCTTGCCCATGGTGTGAAAGTTCTTCAAGCACGCCGGGCAAACTGTGTCATTTATCAGGAGCCGGCGTTTTGCTACCTGTTGATGTGTTCGAAACATGTGCGCAGCTTCACCGGCGCGGTTTCGACATCTCTTTCTGCAGAGCAGGCAGCCAAAAATGGCTGGCTCTTTGGTTTCAATGCTTTCATGAGGGTCATATTGGAGGGTGTGGCGGAGTTGTCCAGTCAACTGCTCGTAGAACACTAGCGTGCGCCAGCGGTTTTCTCTTTGCAAGATCGCATGCTCAAACGTCCTGCGCGTCAAACGCCTCCAGTATGACCTGTGGAAGACAATCACTTCCCTCCACCGTGTCCAGCTCGATTTTGGATCTGGCATTTGCGAGCTATGTCGAATTTGCTGCCACATCCATTCAAGGTCAGCTTCCATCAGGGCTTGCCATGCACGGTCAGCTGCCAAAAGTCCCCATTCTTGTCGTTCTCCACAGTGATGTAGGGTCGCCACATAGCGTAGTCGGGCTCTACGAATGAGCTCTATGGGGCTTGGCATGTGCACCATAGTCAGGATCTCATCATCAGCCATGTGCTGTTCAGGTGAGACCGGCAGGAGTCGACGATATAGTCGGAGCACGGCAGCATGAAAGTGTGCAACTGTTGCCTCATCAGTGACAACCCATGTTTCAGCGCCGTAGAGGAGCTTGCTAAGGACCAAGGACTCCAGCAATTGGCAGCGTTTCTGTAACGGCAGCGCCCAATTGCGGAAGATCAATTTTTTGTGATGATTCAATGTGGCGAAAGCCATGCCCAAGCGTCTTTTGATTTCATCTCGTTGATCACAGGCGTGATGAAGGAGTCCGCCGAGATGTACATAGGTTGTGGTCAAAGGCAGCTGCATCGTCCCATACTCTGTGACAACTGGCAAACTGCCCAAAGCATGCGGTCCGAAGAAAATTTTCTTCTGCTTGCGAGATCCAGGGCCACGAAGTGAGAGAAGCACCTCAGTTTTGTTCTTGGACAGGTTCGGTGTCATGCCATGCTCGATGCAGAGCTCTAAAAGTCTGCTGGCAACAATTCCAACCTTCTGGACTACTTCTTCTCCCGTTTGGCTTTGTAGGCATATGGCCAAGTCATCCATCCATGTAGGTCCAACAAAATCTGCTGAAAGAGAGGATCCAAAATCAGGCTGTTCAAAGAGCAATAGCTGAGTGAACTTGGGGAAGGTGCTGAGAAGATCATTTTGCTTCATGAATTGTTGGAGTCGATGCATGACTCGGGCCCATACGTAGCTGAAGACAATATCTGCAAATGGATCACCTGGTCTGGTGCCGTGATACGTTTGTACGACATCTGTTTGGTGTCGCATCCAGAAATGCGTTTGAAGGTGCACCGCTCGGACACTGCGTTGCTCCAAGTCGGGCAATCCTGCTTCTCGAAGCGCATTTGGTTCCTCCATGATCTTCCGGAGCTCCTGCAGCGCGTCCTCCGGCATTTTCAGGGTGTGCATGAGGCGGGCGAGCATTTCATCTGTGAGCGGCCCATCCATGCACAAAGGACGGAGGATGCGATAAAACGCCTCCTTGAGGTCCAGCAGAATCACAGCACATGAGTGCCCATGTTCTTTCGCCTGTCTCATGAAGGCTCGCGTCAAATGTAGCCCGTATGTGACAGGCATGGCTCGCCTGCCTCCGAGCTGTTGGGCCTGTAGAAAGCTTTCGAACACATCTGCCTGGTGTGCACGAAGCGTTCTGTGGACTGCTTTGCCTATGTGGCTGGATATCAACAGTGATCTAAATGAGGCACACTGTTTCGGATCGCCTTTGCCCTTGTAGGCTTGCACGAGGAGGCCGCCCTTGTGCATCAATGCTTCATGTCCAAATAGGCAGAGCTTCCACATGGCGGCAAAAGTGGCCTTGGCACATTGTTCCGGAGCGTAATGGCATGTCTCACCGGAAATCCTGTCTGGTCCTGTCGCCTTTCCACAAGCCACTCGCCTGAAGGCCACTTCGAGGTCTACCAGCGTGGGCAATTCATGTGCTTGTACTTGGAAGGGTACTGGTGCCATTTCCTGTAGGCTTTTGATCCAATCCTGCCTGAGTTCTGAGGACGATTGTCTTTGTCCACCTTCCATGTCAGAGAAGAACTGGATCCACGTCTGGGTAGCCTCATCTGTCGATTTGCATGGGGAGCCATTCTGATTGTGGACCAGCGGGATCGTATGCTTTTTGGCCTTTTTGGGGTTGGTCGGGCCGGTGAAGTCCCGCAACATGTGGAGGATGCTGTGCGCGGCCGTGTGCTCATTGATGGTCTCAAGTCTTTGGCTCATGAGGCGTTGTTTCGCTGACTGCAGTTGTGACCTCAATGACAGTCGCAGCTTTCTGTAGCCAGCCAGATGGCGAATCTGCGCAATCCTCAATGTTGTACCATAATTAAATGATTGACCAACTTGTACTGCCGGTAGTGTACCAGACCAAGCCCTGAAAACTTTGAATAGAGCTTCACGAGCAAGTCCCTTCCGGGTTTGTTTGAGCCTCTTGCGATGTTGTAGAAGCTTCATACGAATGCTCCAAATCGCATCGTCAACGTAAGCCTTTTTGGGTCTTGATTTGGTCTGCTTACTTTCGAGCTGTACTGCCTTTTGGAGCTGTTGTCTCACAGCTAATTCATGGAGTTCGATGTCCGTCTTCCATGGTGGTACTGCTATTTCTGCAAGACGATCACGAGCTCTTTGACGTTGTTCAACACAAGACCATTCGGTGTCTGCAGGCTGTCGTGGGGATCTTTTATGGGACATTGTGATTTCCCATTGGAGTTCAAGGCCGACAACTTGATGGTCATCTCTTGTTGTTGCAAGGTCGAAGTCCTCGAGTACTTGCGACCACACACATGAGGACAGCCAGGTCGATGGGACTGCAACGTAGTCAATGCAGTGTAATGTCAGACCATCAATGGATGTCCAGGTATGCCTTGTGCCACTGTGAATACAAGTGGTAGAAGGTAAGCACATGCCGAACTTCTCCAGGGATGCCCGGAAGGATGCGGTGTTGGCTGAGGTTTTCAAGCCAGTCTGGTATACGACTT